ATTTTCAAAGGGCATAAATCACCCCTCTGATAGGAACTGACATAAACATGTCTTTCAAAACACCAACATATTAAGATAAATTGTATGACTGCAGCTTTAAATTTAAGAAAACCAAAAAAAAAAAAAATTTGATTTAAATTATTTCTCTCTTGAACTCTATTTGCGGTTCATGGTTATTAGGGCATGGAACAAAGCATTTGTGAAATATGTCTCTTCTAATAAAGATTTGATAATCAGATGACCCCCTAAAAGGTGTCAGGGAAACATGTGCTTCATCACGTTGTGTGATGTAACCAGTGAAATCATGTGGTTGTGATTTACGATCACAGCTGGACATGCAGGAATATATGCTTTCATTAAAAGAAAGGTATTACTCTAATAAAAATAGAGGACACTCTGTAAATATTTGATATAATAACTGGGATTGTCACCTCTATAAAACCACTTTAATAAAGAAGTATTTATGTATTCAGTCATTGAAGCAGGTCTGTGGCACCTTAAAATCAGAAAAAGCACAAGCTCTATTAGGCTAAAGCTGAAGGCAGTTTATTCCCAGAATGCATTTCATGGGGGCCAATATACTAATTTTAGCACAACAGCCAATGGCAGTTAAAGAGTGTTGCTCCAGAAAGGGTTGGCTCTAATTACATGGTCGTGACAGGAACAGAGTATGTGCAGCAGTGAAGGAGGGGTAACAGAGAACTTCAGTCTTTATCTTATCCTAATATCTGCAAGCAAAGTCAGCTCCTCTGTTTTTAAATCATACTTTTTGACAGGATTCACCCTGTTGATCATGTGAAATGTATTGCTTTGCTATTGGCCATGCCTTGTATAGAAATTCCTTTCAAGACCCTTGACCTTACATGTTATGACCTCAAAAACAGCACCTGATCCATCATCTCCAGGCCACAGCAGAATCCAAGACCATCCTTGGTCAGGGTGTACAGTGTCTGGAATGACCCTGAGGAATGCACCATGCACTACTGACCCCAACTGGCAGCTCCAAACACAGCCTTATGAGAAAAAGGATGAAATATGTGTTTTGCATCTATTGGTTATGTTAATACAGTAGTGCAAACCAATGCAATCTCTCTTGCAGAGGTTTAATTTCAATCCAACAACTTTCTAATGATACTGTAACACTCATGCAGCTCATATTTACGTAATGCAGTATCAGTTCCTGTGCCTCAAGTTCAGAATACGCTGTTCCCTGCTGTCAAGTCTAGTCTCCTGGCTAAGTAATGTGATAAATAAAACACGAGTCGACAGAGGCACGGTTATATCTCCAGCGCTGGAGTGTGTTTTCATTTTGGCACCTCTGTGGACACCATGTAAGCTAAGAAGCATGCATATCAATAAGTGAATGAGCTCGTTGGGGTTTGAGTGGATTGTGCAAACTCTAGAGATATTGTATAACACTCTTGCCACATATACATGGATTCATTTAGCCTCAGCACGGCTGGTAAATAAGGCTCGTAGATCAAGGTAGTGTAAAAACTGGCAGTGCTTTAAAATGCTGTAATGAGAAGAAACTCGCATCCAAACAGAAAGAGAAACTCTCTGTAATACAGATCATAATCATATACAAGTAATAGAGACAGCACCTTGTGATTTTGTAGCAGCGCCCATGTGTTTACACCAGTGTAGGGTGTTACAGATTCCAACAGAGATTTGATCTGTTGTTTAGACTTTGTAAGAGCTTCTGGTCAAAAAGCGATTCCTCAGATACATCTAGTATCTAAGCTTGCTTAAAAGGTCAGATATGCTTAAAAGGTATAAAAAAACAACTGCAAGGGTATATCAATATAAGCTGGAAAAAAAATAATCCATATAGATTCAAAGTGTTTAGATCATTCTAAAGCAAATACTGAATTTATGTGCTGATTTCATTCATTAATGAAAAAGGTTTTCCCCTAATGTCCTGATTCTGGGTAAGAAGGTAACTGCTCACTAAAGATAGGTTTTAGTTGATTGGTTAATCACTATGATTAAGTCATTTAACAAGCATGATTGGGGTGGGGTGTGGGTATACTTTCTGCAGGTCAGTTAGCTCCTGACACTTTAACCCTTAAATTGCATTTTCAACCTCCAACCTGTGTTTTTTTCTGAGGAAACATTTGGTTGACCACACAGTTAAAAGATTAAATACCACAATATGCACAAAAATACTCTATCTGGGTACATTGGTACAACATGATACCAATGATTTTGGGATATTTGTTATAAATCTTGGTCAGTAATATGATTCCACCTGTCTGTATTTAGTCGTGCAAATAATTCCCGTAGCATCTAACCTGATGGGATTGACCTGAATCTTGTTAGTTTTGATCTGAAACATTGTATAAGGGCCTTTGAAAAGCTAATCTCATGTAATTATTCAAAGTTGAAGGTGTTAAAAAAAAATTAACTGATATCTCCTGGCAGAGTGACATCAGAGCCAGACTTTATTGTATTAAAGTTGCTCACAGACAGATGGTTTTCAGCTTTCAATGCAGACTGCCTCTAGTGTGCCCTCTAGCGGTTGAATTGGATGATGCAGATTCTTTTTTTTTTTTAAAAACCCTTCTTAAATATTTTTTATTTTTCCTATTCTGTGCTCCATATGATCAGACTTAAATGTCTAAAAAAATGTAACACAATGAACACAGAAACATTTTAATTTGAAGTATCTCTTTAAACAAATAGAATTGCCCCCATTGTTACCAAACAACCTTTTTTTTTCATTTCAATTTAACTAACCAAACCTGATACCTATGTGAATATAAAATCAAAATTTTTTTTAAACAAAGCCTATCTGCAGTTATTATTTTATATATTATTCTGTTTATTATTATTTAAACCCTTTGAGGGTTCTTTCTACCCTCTCTTTTAATTTTAGGCTGGAAGGCTTTTGCTTTTGGGTCATCTGAAATGCTGCAGCCAGAGTTCTGATGAAAATTCAAAAGACAGATCATATTTCTCTTGTCTTAGTTTTTCTTCACTGGATCCCTATTAAATCCACAATAGAATTTTAAAATCCTCTTTCTCACATATAAAGTCTTAAATTGCCAAGCGCCTTCTTATTTCAGAGAACTCTGCTTTGAGTCGGCAGGTTTACTTGTGGTTCCTTGAATTTCTAAATGTAGACTTTTATGATAAGGTTTAAAACTTTCCTTTTTTATAAAGCTTATAACTAGAGTTGCTCAGTTTTTCCTGAGCTATCTCTTTATTTACGTTGCTATATGCTTAGACTGCTGGAGGACATACTGTAGGGACCACTTTTCATCATTCTGCTTCATTCTATCTCTATTCTCCCACTCTGCACTATTTGTTAGTTCAACCTCTGACTTTATCTTGTCTCTGCTCTTTCTTTTCATAGTAGCTTCATCTGGTCTGTTCCTGTTTGGCTATGACTCCGTGATGGAGAGAAACATCAGCTGCGCTGCTGCAGTCAACACCTTAGATTACACTGTAGGCTATAGAGTTGGGCCTGTTTTTTAGTGTTTACTCGGTTTCTCTATCGCTACAGGCTCAGCTTTTACTGTGACTAACTGTATGTGCTTTTTTTCCTCTCTTTGACATGGAAAATGGCCTAGCATTCATCTAATGAACTTATTTTTTCCTAGACTGAGCTAGAATAAGCTTCTAACATAGAAAATATTTATAGATTAGTGCTTATATGTTCATTTTGTATGTCTGATTCTGAACCCTGAATATGAATATGTCTGAACCTCAGTTGGCTCAGAAGAAGGCCGTTTACACTGAGCCTAGTTCTGCTAGAGATTTCTTCCAGTTAAAAGGGAGTTATTCCTCTCCACTGTAACTGCATGCATGCTCGCTGTGAGGAATTGGTGTCGACTCGATGATCGGTTATCATTAGATAGAAAACTTTTAACCAATTTGACTGTATGATCTGACTGCATTGTCTCTTTAAAGTGCCTTGAGATGACGTGGTGTAAACGTGTTATAGAGATAAACTGAACTGAATTAATACTAGAGATGGAATATTAGAGTAAAGTTTTTTGTTGATCAAACAAACGTGATGAATAATGTTGAATCTGGTTATTTAATAGAACCTATCTGACACGTGGGGTGAATTTTCTCTTATTGAGATAAATCTTCCCCTTATCTAAAGAAATTAAAAATCAGATGATAAATGAATTGAGAAAAGAGTTTCTGCCATGGTTGCCAAGCAGCAAGAAGGTCTACAGTACAGTAAGAGCTGTTATGCACAAATGAAGAAAATATGCAGCACTATAAAACCCTCCCTGGAGTAGCAGGTTTACCAAATTTATTTCATCAGTGCATGAAAGACTCTAAGAGGTGACAAAAGAATATGAAAGGCTCAGGAAAGATCATTGTTCGGGACTGATTAAGAGAGTAGATGGGCAAAAACAGAATCCTTTGTATTCTTTTTAGGCCATCCTACCTCAAGTTTACAAAAAAAAAAATTCTAAAGACTTTTGGGACACCATTGAAGACAAAATAAAACGTGTTGTATTACATCAGGTTTAAAACATAGGTTTAAAAATATCATACCAACAGTCAGAGACTGTGGTGTTAGGGGAATGGTCTGGCTCTGTTTTTTTTTTCCTTAGGACATTGATAACTTGCCATAATTTAAGGATTTATGTAATCTACCAGAAAACCATCAGGGAGATAAAATAATCTTTAATTTTTTAGCTTAAACTCAATCAGCAAGTCCATTCTGATTGCTTTATATAACCAGGAAGAATGTTTTCGATCGGCCAAGTCAAAGCACAGACTGAAATTTGATTAAGATAAAGTTAACACAAAGAAGAGTGTGCAGTCATTTTAAAACTGCTAGTTAAACAAAATGCTTGCTGACAGTTGTTGCTGCAAAGGATGTTAAAGCCAGATATTGGGATTATGGAACAATTACTTTTTAACGTGACAAAAAATAAGTGACAATGTGATTGACAAGAATATTTCAAAGCGCTGCAGATGAGGATGTGCCTTAAGCTTCTTTCTTTTTGGTATATAAACACAACCCCTCCCTCTTCCTTCCTTGCAAGGCTCCTTGATAACAAGGGAAATTTCCTTAGCAAAACATTTTATTCATGTGTTCTAGAAGAGGGGATTTAGGATGACAAATGTTTTGATAGAATCAAACAATAATACAGAATATTATTGCACAATGTTAAAGCTTTTAGCTTCTTTTGGGTCAAAAACATCAGCTGCAACAACATGACATCCTGAAAGAGGAACAAATATGTTTGTTGGTTCCTCAACAGTCAGGTGAAGGGTCACAGGATCCTTTCTCTTGGTCAGAAGTCTGAACATCACTGCTGTTGTCAGTCTCAGTTATGTTTTCACTGTTCGGGCTCTGATCTCCAACCTGACTGTCTTCAGGTTTGTGATTGCTGTCATCACTCAGCTTGACTGGTTTCTGTAAAAAAACAACAACAAAAAAACCAAAACAAATAAAACATTTGTTAAAGATTTGAAAATAAATCACACCAAATTCTTGTATGTTAACAGACTTTTAATGTGTAAACAAACTAAAATTATTTAATTAAGAAATAATTTTGAGGATTGAAATAAAAATGTGGCATATCCAGAGTCCAAAAGAACTGTAAAGCTCAAAGAAAACATGAAGGTTCACAATCTTAGTGATTTTGAGGTTTTAGATTGCAAGGAAAGCAAATATTGATCATGCTGTTCATTAGATGTGGGTTGCTTTTAGACTTTGACCACAAAAACTGATTGCAATCAATTAAGACTTGGTTCAACAGAGTTAGTTTAATTGAATGAAGTTTTATCTTTGGTATTAACAAATGTTGGTTAATTTTTGAATACTGTCATGCAAAAAGTGGGAAAAGTTTGGATACAATCGTGGTCTGATTTTTTTCACACCCAGAATTTTAACAATGATGTGAACACTTCTGAGGACCACAGCTTTTAGTTCAATACGTTGTTATTAATGTTTTCTAATATTCTCTAACGTAGCTAAAAAATTAGTGCATCAACTTGAAAAAACAAAGAATTGTATGCGTGGGTGTGCGTGCATGGCGTACACAAGGTCTCACTTACATTATCAGCCACTTCTGGGACACCTGTTAAACAAAGATAAAGGACACAGTCAGGAAAGAAAAAGAGAAGGAAAAGGAGGAGGACTTAATCATTGCCTCCAAAAACAGAGCAATGGAATGGAAACAGGAAGACTCTTTTCATTTAAAATGAACCCGCAGTTTCCAAATGCAGGTAGGTTTTAACCTCTAGAGAAATCATGTTTCCGCTTTATTTTCAGCAGAAAAACACTAATACAGCTAAGCAATCCTATGACTAAGCAATGGGCAGCTGTATTCTCCTAAACAATTAGACGTTTGGCCACTTAGCTTGAATGAAAGCTCAGAATGCTTGCCTTTGTGGTTGAACAGGAAATTCTCTCTGACGAAAGCAGGAAGTAGCCACCTGGAGACTAGGCCTACTGTTCTAATGGGTCATTCTTTCACTAACAATGGATTTTTCACAGTCCCCAGTTGATCCTGTTTCCTGTTTTTTTCTCTGTCTTCCAAATGTCAACATTTCTGTTAAGGATTTCAATAAAGAGCTTGATGATCGCCGTACCTTGTTGGGAGTCGCCTACTTCACTGTCAATAGTGTCTGTAGCCTGTTTCACTGAAACAAACATGAAGCAACATTGTAGAACTTAAGGAAAATCAGTTATTTAATGTTTTTGTACATGTGGTTTTAAATTCAGAAGCATTCTCACCTTTGATTGGATCTGATTCTCTTTTTTCAGACTCAGTATTTTTAGGTTCAGCCAATTGCGGTGCCTTGCCGCTGTCTTGGTCATCTGACTCTGCACAACAGTTTGGTTAATGTTAAAAGATAAAGCTGATGCCTATTTTTCTTATCCAAATGGAATACAACAGTTACACATTCACTGTCCACCTCATTAGTTACAGCAGTTTGAATACTTCTTAAAACAAAGAGCAAATCACCAAATCAGATGTCATTAACACAATCTATTCATCTGGAGGTGTTAAAGACCATTTATTTGATCTGTCACCAGAGGTCATGTAATAGGAGGCTTACATCTTGGATACGAAGAAACTGTATAATGACACTGTGTAAAACCATGAAATTTAAGGTATTTCGGAGGAAAAAAGGGGTCTAATCAAACACAGTCAAAGTAAATCTAATAAGTGGCCATTAAAAATACATTTGGTTCCTGGAGAATTAGAAAAAAATATAATCATATATAGAGACTGGGTTGAGAACATTACCTAAAATATTCTCATTTCTGTTTAGACAAAAGCTGTTGACACCTTCTACCTACCAGAGCCTGAGACATGGTCACTCCACAGACTTTTTCCCATCAAGCTTGGGGTGACTAAACAGGGTAGACAAAAACACCCAGCAGAGTTGATTGCTAAAACCTTGGTATCACTCTACTTATTCCAATGCTTAAAGGGATGACCAATATTACCATTTGCAGCATCAATGACCTCAGCCTGTGTGAGACTCAGTCGCTCTACTTTGGTGCCAGCTGACTTCCTGAGGTGGAGACAAAGCAAAATCAGCAAGGGATCTACTGGACTTCTTATACTCTGAAGGTATATAATATTAAAAGCTATATTTCATCATAGCTTAAAGGTATAGTGGAGAATTTTCGCTAATTTTGAAAAGACCTGCCCCCTCCACTTAAAAAAAAGCAAATGCACAACCATGTACCCGCTCCAGAGGGGGAACGCCTATAAAAAATGTGCAAGAGCATGCACGAGCCCATTTCTCTTGATGCACACTCTCTTTAAAGTTGCTGTCTTTATCGCTCATACAAGCTTACTTTCCAAAAGAAGATTTGCAATTTTTTCACTATGTCAGACTCATCACTGGTAAATGAAAATTGGGACGAGTATGTAGGACGGCCTTACGTAAACATATCACCAGAATAATAGCCCATGATCTCCATGACCTCAGAGCGCAACTGAACATTTGGACACCCATAACCAGGGCACCCTGCCAGTAGCTCAAAGTAAGAGCATGGTGCCACCATACACTTTCATACCTTAGTTTAAGGAGATTTAACAGAAATCTGTAATTCACACATTTTTTTAATCTAGAGGAAAAAAAGCTTACATTTAATTTTGCACTTTTTGTAATTTTTAAAGTAAACAAGTACAAAACATTTGTTCAGACAGTTGGAAAAGCTAAAGTGTACACTATGACAGATAGAGAAATGTGTCATTGGATTTTATTGTAAAATAAACTACTAACAAGTTGAATGATGCTCATTATTGAGATTGTAAAAAAAATGTCTAAGATACAAAAATCCTGAATCATTTGAAAATTGCTTAAGGCCTTGTGAACCATTTAAAGTTTGCATGGAGTTTTTAGCATAACTACAAAATTGTTTTAAGATATTTTAAAATGCTAAATACTTTAGAAAATACTTTCAAAACTATTTCTAACAAAATAACCTTAATGTTTTGAATGAGCTCATCATATTAATATAGAATATAGATAGGTATCTCCGATAGGAGATTTTGTTTCATATATTAATACAGAATAATATAGATGAAAAGCAACAATCCCCTATTAACGCTTAACTGCATTCACAAAATAATGAAATATGCCTGTTTAGTTCAAGTGATCTTTAGATAAGTGAAAGAGCAGTACCACTTACACTGACAAGCTGCCTTTGCTCTTCCTCTTAAACCTTAAGAGCCGGGTCCTTAAGACAATCACCAGGGCGAAGGTGAGGAGAAGCAGGAGGCAGGCGATAATGATAAGCACTTTTTTCCACCCTGCTAGTTTCACTGCAGAAGATATAATAAAGTATTTTCAGCAGTCATAGAACCAGTATTTTGCAAATTATTTACAGATGAAATATGTGTCACATCACATAAGTAGTTCTAATTTCCACACCATTCTCAGTTCCAATTATGTGGTGGAAATTTAACGCACCTCCAATGGTGACCAATTCACTGGTTTTGATTTCGTTTGCTGGGTTTGTGCTTGTGCAGTAATATCTTCCCACGTGTTTTGCGTTGGCATTTTGGATGCTGTGGGACACTTTTAGTTTGTTTGAAGCCAGAGAAAAAAGTGCACCAGGTGACTCTAGGTGGTACCATGTGAAATTGAAGGGAGGGCTGCCTGTCTGCACAGAGCAGACAAGGTTTATGCTTTGTCCTTCGGTGACATCATAACTGGGAAGAATAGTCAGCTCTGGTTTAGAGACAGGCTCTGCAGAACAGAAAATGTGCTAGAAATGTAGTTATTGTTATCAGAGAAAAATAATAAAAACAAAAAAACAACACTCCTATTATTGTGGCGCAAAACCTACCAATGATAATGGTTGACTTTAGAAGCTGCTGCCCCAATGCTATTTTAGCGGGGAAACGTGGATTATTCTTTGCGTGGCAGAGAAATGTTTCTAAATCTGAGGTCTTCGAGATCGGAGGTACGTCAAAGATGGCCTGTTCCTCAGATCCGCTCACCTCTCTGTTGAGAATCAGCCTATTTGGTCCATATAGGGTGTATTTGATAGGAATGGTGCCTGTGTGACTGTGACAGATCAGTTGAAACCTTTTGCCTAAAAACATCTTGCCCCCAGCCACACTCAGCACAGGATCTGAAACAGGGACTGGGAAAAAAAAGACACAAGACATTTAATGAAAGATTAAAAGGTAGCTCCTCAATAACCCTCCGATGATTAAAGTATATCAGTAACGTATTGATATATTAGAATGCAATTTAAAATTTTGTTTCTTTTTGTAATTCAGTTTTAAAAATTGGGACTCGTTATTATGAAAGATGTAACAAGAAGTCTGTATCTTTGTTTTGATAGATTAAGGATTTCTGCCATTTCTGCCATTCTTTACAGAGGGCTGTATTTAAGGCATAGTGATGGACAGTTAGGAAAACTGTAAAAGAAAATGTATGAAAGTATATGTAGCGGTTAATCAGAACTAACAACAAAAAAAGCATTAAACTAGATTTTATTTATAATTTCTATACAGACTGAGGTAAGCTTCTGTACTTATGTTCCCATTTGTCCAGCCTCCAGTACAGGCAATAGGCCTGTTTATTTTTATTATTAATATTTGATCATTATGACATAAAATGTTTCATGAACAGGGTTGTTCATTATCATTGAACTCAGGGTTAGTCATTGGGACACAGAAGAAGAATTATGGTGGTATGGGAAGCCAGGGCTGCTGGCGACAGTCAGATTTTTCTCTAAGTATAGTAAAGGGACAGGGCCATGTTAGGAATCCAGTTTGTGTGGGTTGCGTTTTTGTTTGATTTCCCTCCAGCACCAGGTGGCGCCTGGTTCTCGTTGGCCTTCTCACACACCTGCGGATGGTTGACTCATTACCGAAGGACTCTTAAGCTGCTGACTGCCACTACCTTGATGCCAGACTGTTTGCCAGTTTTGGGTACTCTAGCCAAGCTGAGTTTTGCTGAGTCAATCTGAGTTTTAGTCACCTGAGTCTTAACCTTGTTTTTTGTCTTTGCCTCTCGGCAGGAAGTGATCCTGCAAACTGGATGTTTTGGACCTTCTCCCCCTGGAAGGATTGTCTGAGCGTCAAACTGAGGTGAGGATTCAAACAAGTGGTTTGGATCAACTTTTCCCCAAGGATTGTTTGGGCTTCACACTGTTCAGGGAATTCATCTCCACAAGAAACAGTTCAAGTACCATTGGAAATGTTAGTGGCAGTCAGCTCCTCCGTTCCTCAAGGTAACACCTCAACCTGGGTAAACCCTGTCCGCCCTCCAACGAGCAACTCAATTACTGGAACAACCCACACCGACTGGATTCAGAGAAAGACAGCTTTTACTGGAAACGTGAGTCCCATCGCCTTTATTCCCTTTTGCAAAACGAAGTTCAAATTTCCCACAGAGCCTTAACTAACCACAGGAACTTCCCCTTCACTTTTCAGTCCTGGTTCGCCAGTGTTCAGAGCAGCACTGGAACCATCTCTACCAGTTCTCAATAAACCTGTTAAACCTTCCCTTGGTCTCTTTGTTTGGTTTCCTGCATGTGGGTCAGATCTTAGAATTAAATCATGACAGGCCAAGTTATATTTATGGATATCTTGCAAATTATTTAGGGTTAGGGACCTGCTGGAGGTTTCCTTCTATTAAAATGGAGTTTTTATCTCCACTATAACTGCATAAATGCTAGGTATGAGGTATTGTTGCAAAGCCGATGATGTGATGCAGTCTGCTTTTTGTTTTTAGAATAAAATCTTTGATAAATTTTTCTGTATGATTTATATTAAACTACCCCTGTGTAACCAGGTGAAAAATGGGTACATATCAAAGATATATTCTGTAAACCATGTTTTGTTTTTGTTTCACTGACTGGTTGTAATTCTTGTTCTTGTCAGCATGTGGTGCTGTTGGTACAGAGAGGTCTAAAGTTACCAGAAGTAGAAAAAAACTCTTGTTCATGTACCGTGGTACTCTAACTGGAAAGAAACGGAGGAGAAAGACATTTTTTCTTTTTTTGAGCTAAGACTTGTTGGAGAAGACGACTCTATGGCCATATGAGTGAAGAATCCAAGTATTAGAGGTGCCACTGCCGTTTGTTATATGCAGCTGTGAAGTTTTTGGCTTGTATGCGAAGCTACGTTGTTACTTTGAGTGTTATTAGCGTTATTAGCCCGCCATTTCACTAGAGCTCAGGCTTTCTGTTGATAAAATACGGTTCACTTTTTTCAAATACTGAACCTCATTCATTTATTTTTTTTTAAATAAAGAACCCCTGTTATTTGAAGCTCTGTGTGCTGTATTACTCCCGGCTTCATCTGTAAAGTACCCTTAGATGTCATGTGTTGCAAATTGCAACTTTATGAATATTCTTAATTGAATTGAAATATATGCCTTCACTGATTGATTGTCGCTGAAAGGTAGGTTTAATGTCGTATGTAGTTAAGCTTGTTTTTTCAACTTCACTGTGGACATCGTACAACCAGGTTTACATTCGTGCAATATTGTCCAACCTACTCTTTCGATAAGAAATGGATTAAAGACTGAAATTCCTTCCTTTTTTTTTCTTTTTCTTTTCTTTTTTAAATCCTGATTGTATAATTGTTGTGGGCATCATGGACCTCTCTGACAGTCTTAACTCCTTTAGCATATAGTTATGGTAACTAAACAGTCACGATTAGGCACACTAAGGCAGAAACAGGACACGCACTATTCTCAATATAGTGGTACAGTGTACAGCTGTTTCTCGAATAGGCACAGTGGCACAGGGGTGAGAACATTTATATTTACAGAAACGGTAAAATGAAAATACTACCAGTTTTGTTGTTACATTTGTTACTGATACTCCATGTATATTTAGGAATTTTGTATTCATCTTGATATTTTTCATTCTGGCCCCTGTCCGTCAAGGTCCTTGGAATTTCCCTAATGTTTCTAAAAGGGGCCAATAGTTGAAATAAGGAAAAAGTGGTCTCCTTCTGAACACTTCACGATGTTGATTCTACCTCCTGTTCCTAACTCCTATCCCTTCACCTTTTGCAGGGTCAAAGGCAAGAACACTCTTCAGGGTAAGAAAGGAGCTCAGGACTGCTGTGTTTAATCTGGACAGCCTTTAGCCTTACGTACGTCATTACACGACAGACATGCACATGAATGATGCTGGTCAAATTGGGACTACAGCTTTTTTAGAAATGAAGTACAATAAACAAAAGTTACCTAAATACAATGAACGGCTTAGGCTTTGTCTTATAATACCCCAAAAACTTTAAGGTGTTTTCACGCAGAGTACATTAATACCCCTTTCCCACTGGCCCTAAACCTGTTTAAACAATCTACTCTTAGTCGCAGTGGGAACAGCTCGCTGACCTGTATCGACCCGTTTGAAGCTACAACATCAGACCCAGGTCAACCCACTAATTTGAAAACAATGTATGGACGTCAACACACCGCGCCACTCGCATCTGTTCTGATCTGAACAAGCTGAAACAAAACTGTTTAAATTTGATAAACATGGTGCAGCACTTGTAAGAGGGATTTGGACAGATAAAAGTGCCAAACAGTAAAGCACACTGACTGTGCGCTGATTTCCTTCCATGCTGCTGATTTCTTTCACTCGTGACATCACCAAAGCTAATCCATCATGATGGCATCACCAGACACGCAGCAGTGTGGGGACAGAGGCCACGCAGCTTACCTATGAGGGGTCAGACTCAGCTTTTTTTGCCAATGGGAAGGGAGCCAAATTTAGATTGTTAGCAGGTCTACCCGTGTTTGTAAAACCTGTGCTAACCCGCTAATTTCAGTGGGAAAAGGCTTTAAAGAAATAATGTAGTTTAGTTCGATTCCGTCAGGTGGCCTGTGTCTATATTTCCTGCGACACAAAACGGAGGCACTTGTATAGCTTTTAAAGGGGGGTATGAATGTCAGGAGGTTCATATGCTAAATGCATTGGTAGGAAGCATTGTGCTTCCTACCAATGCATTTAGCATATGAACCTTCCGTAACACTAGCACTATTCCGATGGCCCTTACTATGGCGAAGGCTGAAGTACTTTTGTCTTGACTTTAGTGTCGTTACTGAGCAGGGTTCCTCAATTCTGTTCCTCAAGGTCTGGTGTCCTACACCTTTCCGGATGTTTTTTTGCCTAAACACACCTTAGTTGAATAATAAGGTCATTAGCAGGACTCTGGAAAACTTAGAGTCATTCAGTAATTTATTCAGGTCCGGAAACAGTGACACATCTAAAAGGTCAGTGTCCTGCACCGGTGTCCTTCCTCCGTAATGAAAGACTGGTCTAGAGGAAGGGTGGAGAGGTACAGAGTCATAGCTACAAGCTTTGTACTATAGTAGCTGATTTAATTTTTTCAGAATGATTTTGTACCTGCCAACACTAAAAGCTGCTATACCTATATAAATGGCGATGTTTGTCCAGCATATACACCAGACCAAGAGTCCTAGAGATGGCAGATCCAACAATGGTGTCTGAAGGCTGTGTCAAAGAAACATGGGATTTGTTTGAAGCTTAGCATAGCCACTGGCAAATTGGCCTTATGCTATATGTACCTATAAAGCCGGTTATGCAAAATATACCCAAATACACATCCCCCTCTGCACATTGACACAATTATCGGTAGGCATTAATTTCTCTACCAAAAGGTCTCGATGATCTACATTTTTTAGCAGACAGAATTTGAGACATTCTTAAGTTGTAAGCTATAGTCAAAATTCACAGATATAAGGTCAGAAACATACAAATCATGACGATTTTCTAATTTGCTGTGATTAACTTATTTTCACTAAATAGACTTAAAATCTGGTTGCATCAGTTGCCCTTTTCCATGTTGATGCTGTAACCTAATACATTTATTCAGCCAAAATGTTACTTCTGACTGCAATTAAACCGGTGTCGCAGGGCAACACAAAGACAAACAGGACAAACAACTATGCACACACACACTCACACCTAATGACAATTTAGAGATGCCAATTAAACTAGCAGTCATGTTTTTGGACTGTGGGAGGAAGCCAGAGTACCCGGAAAGAACCCAGGCATGCTCAGGGAGAACATGCAAACTCCATGCAGAAAGACTCCGGAACGAATCTATTTGTTGCAAGGCAGCAGTGCTACCCACTCCCACTGAGCAGCCCCTTGGGAGAAATAATTTATGAGTATTAATTTACATCACACTGCATCACACTGACAATACCAAACCAAAACACTGCTTAATTGCACCATATATATTTAATGCTCTGAACTCTGAACTATCAATGATTTTTTTTCACCAATTTTTTCTCCCACGCTGTTTACATTTGATCACTGCTGCACTTGAAATGGAAATGTCATGAAAGCTGTACAAAACAAAATGACAATAGTTAAGTTGTCTAAGTCTAATTTACAAATAATAATAAAGAATGATACAGACGTATTATACCTTTTTTCAACAGTCATTAGAAATGGTTTAATTGATATTACAGCAATGAGAACCTTCTATTTGATTTCCAGTTTTTTGACTTTTTTGTGAATTTGGAAAATTTTTACTATCTTTAGGGATGAGCTTCCAGTCTACCCAAGTCTATCTATCTAATTGTGTTGATCTAATGGTGCTGATATTTAACTACATTTTCTGCTCTCACAGTTGTATTAAGTCCATGACACTACCTAATGATGCAACCAGTCAATTTGTCAGTCATAGAAACATGTTTAAAAGGCTGTAAGGTTGCTGTTGGATCAAGATGTCATTTATTTTTGGAGGCGGTTTGAAGTAATTTTGCTTTGCTGGGTTTGATCTTTAACCTGGGGTTTTTCTGCATGGAGTTTGTATTGACTTTTGGATTCTTTCTGGATACTTCAACTTCTTCTCACACTCCAAAAAAACATAACTATTAGGTTAATTGGTGACTCTAAATTGCCCTCAGGTGTGATTGTGTGAATAATTGTGCATCTTGTTTTCCTGCAATGGACTGATTTGTTACATTGATTGTTACATTGATTGGGGAACCCTGCCTTTAGTCCATTAAATGCTGAAGATGGGAATCAGCCCCATGTGACCAGACATACAAGCTGTAGAAGTTGGATGAATTGATTACATTTACATGCACCAGAGGACTTACCTTTAGCTTTAACACTAATTGTTTGGCTCTCCTTGTTAATAGTTGATGCATTTCGAGTGCCTCCGACTTTACAGGTGTAGTTGCCATTATGTTCATATCGTGCAGTAGTTTGATATGTGGCTGCTTTGGTCAATTCAATTCCATCTTTGTAAAGAACATATTTAAAAGTACGGGGGTCAATCATCCCAGGAATGAAAAAATCGACTGAACAGCTCAGATTAAAGGTTTCCCCTTCAAACAGGTCCACAGGTTCCAAAGTAAACCGGGGCTTTGAAAACACCTCTGTTGGATCAGAAAGAAACATTTATGCAACATATATGAATTTCCATTATTACCATTTCAGCAGCAATTTACTTGGGTTCAAAAATGACATTTAGTAGGACGGAAAGCTTGCCTTTGACTGTGAGCGTTGTGTAGTTTTCTCTTTGGACGTTTCTCCACTCAACCTTGCAAACAAGCTCTCCAGAGTCTGTTGCTTTGGGTCTAAATCTGTATATGAGATGTTTACCAGTGGCTCTCTTTAGAACAGTCCGGTCCTTTATAAGAAATATTTCAATGTTCTCCAAAGAACTCTGTACTTTACAAATTACTTCTACTATATCTGGTTCATAGATGTCGTTGGGGGTTATGGTCATGTGTGGAATGATGCTGAGCTCTGCAAAAACACAAACTCAAAAAGTCAGGCACAATTTTCCTCTGTTAGTCTAGAGAAAAGTACAGCTTGATATGATCACCTTTAACTTTCACTGGAATCCAATCACTGATGTTGGAGTATTTGGTCCCTGTAACAAAACTGATTTCGTAGTCACAGGAGAGAAAACAGTCTCCTCTGTGCCTGAGTGTCATGGTGGTCTCTAAAAAGTTATTTTTGCTTCGTAGCTGTTTTATCCGCATAGGCTGTCCATCCTTAAATTTCTGGTAAAAGTTGAATATGAAACCGCCTTTCTCCTCTGGAGCACTGCAGGTAACTTTGAACTCTTCACTCTCATATGGATTTGAATTATTCAGATGGAGAATCGGGGTTTGAAGGCCTGACAGGAGAGAAACACACTGGGAAGGTGAAAATCTTTTTTTCTTTGCACATTCTATAACTACAACCACAAACGTCAGTGTATTTTATCAGGATTTTATATAATTTACCAACATGAAAAGGCAGTTAATATAAAAAGGAAATAAAATAAAAAAACAGGCTTTAGTTTTCTTTTGTCAAAATAAAAATCTCAAACATCTTGCAGATATTTGTATTTTGCCTTCCTGAGTCAATATTAATATATATATATATATATATATATATATATATATATATATATATATATATATATATATATATATATATATATATATATATATATATATATATATAACTCTATAACATTTTTTTCTTTTGTTTTCTTTTTGCTACCTTATTTGCCACGATAGATGAAAATCAATATTTAAATCTACACAGATTGGATTTATCTCTGGGTTATGAATGGGCTAAATGACCAGTAATTAATATTCTTTGTTTTAAAGCAATTGAATTAGTTCAATTTAAATGTTGAACAAAATGATAAAAAAATAGAATTAAAAAGAATAAAATAAATGTGTGAACTGAAATCAGACAATAGGTAAAAAATAAGGAAGTTAAACCTGTATATCTATTAAAGTACATCAGATGGGAGGTAATTAATTCACATCCCAGTTAGCCTTTGAGCAACAAAATCCTCTTTTGTGATGTTTATTTTCTTTTTTGTTGTGTTCATTGTATTCACCTACAGAGCAAGAAAGGGTCTAATCATATTTTTTCACAATCTTTTAAAAGGATCCATTGATTGTTACATTGTATCTAAATCCTGATAAAAAGAAAATTCTGCACTTCTCAGCTACCTTATTATTTTCTCACAAAAGCAAACCTCAAAATAATCAGTGAGACCTTGATAACTTCTCATGTTACAGATCTTGGCTTGGCAGGATTAAAAAAAATCTTTTATTAATATTAATACAAAATCTCTCATTGATCTAATAGGCCTCTGTACCATCCAAAGTAAAAATACTTTAATTGTTTTTATATGCAGATAATAGTTTCTTTAAGATAAATTAGAAATTTGTATTTGCTCTCCTAAAAAAATGTATTAGGGTGTAATATTTAGAGATGGATTAGATTATTTTACTACTAATTTACTTTATTCACATCTTTTGTAAATCAAAAACATAAATACTTAAAGGATTAAAACAATTTATAGATCCCATAAAGTTTGGATATAAGCTCAGATGTGTTTCTCTTTTTAAAAAAATTAATCCCCTCTTTTCCACAGCCATAAGCCTAATAAATGAGCATGTGGATGTGCATTTAGGGTAACGAAGAGTATTTTTGTTGTCGTTGTCTAGTCTTAGTCATATCCCAAACAATACCCTGATATTGGCCCTCATACAATTGGAAAAAGGAAATACTCCATACCTCTGATATCAAGTCTCTTGATGTTGCTGGCCTTGCGTTTGTCTTTCACCAAGACTTGACATTGATAATTTCCGGAGTCGCTTACTCTGGCTGGGTTGATCTCATAGTCGACAGAGTCTTCTGTGGTGTTAGCTGTGTGGATTTCAATGTCATCCCGGAGGATCTTGAAAAGGTGTTCAAGCTGAGAGATGTTGCTCAAGCTCACTCTTACTTGGCAACGTATCGTCACCTTGGTTCCACTTTGAACTTTAGTTTCAGGCAGGATTGTGAGGCCAAGAGTATCTATAATATAGGCTGTTGAATTCATCCAGACACATGAAGGTAAGAAAATAAGGTAGAGATAAACAGTGAGAATCCAGAGGTAGTTTTGACCTGCCAATTGTCCTCTATGCAACAAACGGAAGCAAGAAGGAAGGAAATATTGTAAGGGTCTTGGTTCTTCTGGGAGATTGTGAAACCTACATCACCTTATACCCCTATTAAACAAAATAGTTTTTTTTCAGAGTAAAAGTTTTAAAAATAAGGGTTTCTGAATCACATGAAATCATGCTTGGCACTCTCAGCAGAGGTGGGTACTAACTACTTACATTTACTCAGTTACATTTACTTAAAGGTATAGTGGGAGATGTTTTTTTTCAGGGTGGATCATCAAAATAAGTGGTGCTCCTAATTGTCAACCATTCTGGTGATATGTTTACACGTGCTCATCCCTTTTCTCACTTAACGGTGGTGAGTCTGACATAGTGGAAAAATTGCAAATCTTTTGGAAAGTAAGCTTGTGTTAGCGATGCGACTAGCAACTTTTAAATGCATGAGGAGAAATGGGCTTGTGCATGCTCTCACACGTATTTAATAGGCGTTCCCTTTCTGGAGCGGGTACAGGGTTCTGAACGTGCATTTTTTTTTTTTTAAGGGAAGAGGGCGGGTCTTTTCAAAAATTCATGAAAATCCTCCAATATACCTTTAAGTTAATTTTAGAAAAAACAAAATACTACCTAATGTCATTGTACTTTTTCTTTTACCCACATTATATTCTTGTCAGAGTGTTGCTGGTATTACTCGAGTAATATTTCTGGCTTGTCTGCCCAACACAAGACACAAGACTTGAACAATTTGGAGATCAGGGGAAAATACAGCAAACAGTGGACATTGTCAGTGGAAGTTCCTAATTTCCCCTGAAATTTATTCATAAACTACTGTTAGGACTTGCATTATAAGTTAATGGTGAGAGAATCGATTTGGAAAAGTGTATCCTCAGCTTAAAACTTATATTTTCCATTCATTTTATCAATTTGTATTTATTTTTACTTCATTTAATTACGTGGCCTAACACGAATTTTACACATTAGGCTACTGTCTGTCTAATTACATAATTTTAAACAATAAATCAGATGGTATAAGCCAGCAATTACTCACTACTTGGGTAACAATTTTATCAAGTAATTTTTTACTCCTCCTCGAACAATTTATTTGATGACTGCTTTCTACTTTTAGTCTAAAAAAAAACTGCGAGCACAACTATGACTCAGGACGGTTATCAAAAGCTACACAACAGCAATTAATATTTTTCACTATAAATAAATAAAAACAACCCTTTTCTGATATTGAAATTAATTTGATAACCGGAAACATTATTGTGTGGCAAAAAACAGAAAAGTAATTTGTGAGGTGCCAATAGTCAACACTGTATAGAAAAACCTTGAAATATATCAACCTGTGTGGAATAAAGCTGTAAATTATGATTACTATTTACAAGCAGAACAACAGAAATTCTTTTATTTTGTAATGTTATTTGAATGTATTTAAAGGGCACCAGTACTTAAAAAAAACAAACAAAAAATGAATGCAACAATTTTGCTCAAGTTTCAGTTTTTCTGATTTTTTTCATTTCAAGTTTCTGGGAAAAACAACTAAGAAATCACATAACTCCCATTTAAAAATGAGACTTCTGCTACAGAACGGAAACACATAAAACTCTAGAATTTTTTTTTTTAACTTTCTGAAGGTGTTCAGATTGTCTGAGGTTGGAAACCAAAAAAAGTCTCTCCATTATGTCCTGTAAAACAGCTCCCTGAGTATTTGGTACAAGGAACTTCAGGAAGGAAGTAGGCGTGACTTTTAGATTTAAAATTGTATACTTTTAGAAAAGCTTTTCCAACATATATTATGTAGAAATGTATTAATGCTGCATATTTATGTATAAATAGATTGAATTAATGTAAGTGTATAGAATCCTTTCATTGTGTTGCTAAGATAACATTTTCAGGTTTTGTTATAAATATAACTTGTTTTAATCAGAATATTAATCAAACCTACCATATTTTTTTTATGAACCTGGCATAAAAGGAAAGTGTAACAATAACAAGAACAACAACACTTACATGATTCTCCTCTGACGCCTTCCCCTAGGGAAAAAAAGAGAGAGGAAGGAGTATCGAAAAGTGAGAATCCAGGGATTGAGTTTAAATAATGTATTATCCGTTATCCATAAGAAAGCACAGTGGTAGATCCTTACAGACGAGGAGGAGGCTGAGGAGAATCTGCAGCAGCACCAGCAAGCCAGGTGGACTGGAACTCATCCTGAGTGAAGGTGATTCACTGCTTTGTGATCAATATGCAACTTCTGTGAACAGAAGAGGCAGAAACAAAGAAAAAAAAACGCTCAAAGGGATGAAAGAGGAGGACCTTGCAGTCAGAGAAGCGGAGTGGGTTGAAGACAAAAGAGTTTCTGAAGGGGGTGTTTGCACCCTAGGCATGTTGTTTGTCTTATCAGGATGGACTGCCCAGAAGCGTATGTTACTTCCTCAGGAACCCAGCATTACTTTGCTGTTTTTCTTCAGTTGTGAAAAAATGAGAAAACAATAAGCCGACCCACTGACCTCACATCCTCATTAGTTCTGTCTTAACAGGAGGCTAGTTTTCTGCAATACAGCAGCTCCTATTATTATTCTTCATACTCTAAAAAAATAGCAGAACAAAAGTTTATTTTTATTTTTTAATTAATGTACTGTAGGGATTGCAAACCAAGTGATAAAACCCTAAAAAGTTTTGGAAGCAAAATTAGACGTTTTATTTTTGGTGCAAACATTATATTTCACCTGTATTGATAAAAAGGGCAAGCCTAAAATGGTAATCAAAACTAAACGGGCACCAGGTGGGCCCAAAGGAGAGCCTGTCTGACAACATGAAGTAGGATATCACACACAGCAACACTGTTTTTAATGGCTGAAAGAAGCTAATAATGATTTGGGACTTCAGGGAAACATGACAGACAGACAATCTTAATGATCTAAAACCCTTAAACGCGACTTAAAGGAAAGCAGGTAAATCTAGTAAAAGCGTAAAAATACTTTTTCAAACCATTGAGGATAACCATCTTACAAACTGAACTATATTATTGCTGATGAAGGTTCTCATAAATAAACTATACTATTATATTATTTGTGAATCACTAAACATTCTTTATTCTTCCTCTTTGGTTTTTTCTGGACATGTCCCACTGGAATGAGACCACAGCAGCCTCAGATTGTGCTGGAGGAACCCTACATCCCTTGTACGGTTGGGGGGGAAGGATGTTTGGGTTTTCCTCCTGGACCTGTTGCCCCTGCAATCCGATATTGGTTAAACAGAAGACAATGAAAGGATGGGTAGGAATATTTTTGGCAATAACATGATCCCAGCAAACATAAAAGAGTAAATTATGTCTGAAATTAAATAACTAAATAGTCCTTTATAAGCAAAAAAAAAAAAAAAAAAGATAAATTTTAAATTTTGGAAAGGAACCTGTCTACATGTATTTCTAATACTGTATGTTTAACATGACTTCCAAGTGTGTCCTTTGGAGAACTAGTTGATAACCTTATACCTGAAATGGAATCTGAGGTGACCCCTGAGGAAAACTTGTATTTGAAAACCTACTTCTGTTTTTTATTTTACAGATCCAAAACTGATCCACTGTGGCTTATAAACAAATACTACAAAATTCAAATATAGGTATATATTGAAAACAACAAAACACTCTGAAACCATTTTTTTTTTTTTTTTTTTTTTTACTGTTTGATGCTTGTTCTTAAACTCAGAGGACAGTGAACATTTTACCTTCAAAAAGGAGTGCACATTGGAGTTTGTAGCTGGGTTTGATTCCCGGACCAGGGTCTTTCTGCATGGAGTTTGAATGTTCCTTCCTTGGGTTCCGCCTGGGTACCCTGCTTCCTCCTGCAGTCCAAAAACATGACTATTAGGTTAATTGGCATCTCTAAATTGTCGTTAGTTGTGAGTGTGTGTGTGCATGGTTGTATATCCTTGAGTTGCCCTGCGACAGACTGGTGACCTGTCCAGGGTGTACCCTGCCTCTCGCCATTAATGCTGGTGAAAGGCATCGGGGGAACACACCCACACAGAATAAACAGGAGAAGGTTGAAGATAAAAGGAGCACCTATATGTATTTTTTCATTTCCAGTTCATTTTTTATTGTTTGATATTCTTATACATCTTTTATCTGGGGTTTTGCCTTTTTTGTTTCATTTAATTACTTACTATATCAATCTGGGATGTCTGATCTGTGAAATATGAAGAGAAAGAGGCAAACATTTTTATAAATTACTTTAAGTGTTCTGTATTATAGAGATTGTGGGTCTATATCTTTTCCTATATATTGAAATTTCCCTGTCAGTAAGTGGATGTAAAAAGTTTAATTAAGTATTGAACTCCATGTGTTCATTTATTGCTTCTTGAAAGTTTATGTTTGTTTTAGTTCTTTGAGGCCAAAAAAGTGTGGCCCATCCACAATGATTAAAGAGTCATTTTAAAAGGGTAACACAACAACTTCTAAAAACAGTAAAGGGGGTTAGAGCTATCAATGCATCTTGTGAGAAAATACAAAGAGATTGTTTTTATCATCACCTTTGACCTTGTGAACGTCTTATATAGCTGGAACCAAATGTCTACACACATAGGATAGAAATACACACAGTTGCTATCTCACATGGTAATATATCCCTGTTTTGCCTTAGTTACCATTATCTATATCATTTGCATAAATCCCAGCAAAGTTGTACCATTTCTCCTACACCTGACACATCGTGTAGAGGAGTGGGATATTGTTATGGGTCATATTTCAAATCTTTTTTTTTAATGCAGAAGAGCGCGATAAGAGTAATAATTGTTTTGGATTGTTTTGGCTACATTTGAGTGATTTACACTTTTAGAGATTCAAGCATTCTTTGTTTGCAGTGTTTTTCATGTGTATTTGTTTTTTTTTCACATTTGCATCTCATTTCACTGTTTCCTACACATTTTCACCTTTTTGCAGCTAATTTACTGTTTGGTTTGCAGCGTTTTCGTTTTGCATTTGTTTTTTGTGCTCACGTTTTTTCTTCTGCCACTATATGTTACACATTTCTTTAAATATAACTGGCGTTATAGCTGTGTCCGAACATCTAATTACGACATTTTATATGAGTGTCCAGTGCACTCAAAGTTTCCCACAATGCACCTTGAAAAGTAGTGTACAACCGTAGTCACTAGATGAGCAGATATATCTGTGAATGCTTTGCAATAGCTCTCCTTGCAAAGCATCATGGGATTTGTTTTGGGGATGAGAGAGAACAAAGATGCCGCAGGCACCGTGCAGGGAGCCAGATTCACGTGACCAATGTGGAGCGAAAAGTAGTGATCATCTGTCCGAATGGTCAGTTAACTGAGTTCGCTATAAAGTTAAATATATAGTCCCTGATCTTTATAGTGACTGAGGGCTTAGTTGTTAGGGTGGATGCTAGGCTACAGCCTAAGACTTTTAAAGCAGTCTCTCATGTCCCATTTTCTTTTAAGAAATACTGGGTGCACACCGGTTGATCTACTTTCCTACTCTCATCTATGGTGATGAGCTTTGGGTCATGACCGAAAGAACGAGATACAAGCGGCTGAAATGAGTTTTCTCCGTAGTGTTTCTGGGCTCTCCCTTAGAGATAGGGTGAGGAGCTCAGTCATCCGGGGAGGACTCAGAGTAGAGCCGCTGCTCCTCCACTTTGAGAGGAGCCAGTTGAGGTGGCTCGGGCATCTGGTTAGGATGCCTCCTGGACGTCTCCCTGTTGAGGTGTTCAAGGCACTACCCACTGGGAGGATGCCCAGGGGGACACCCACGACACGCTGGAGGGACTATGTTTCTCGACTGGCCTGGGAGCGCCTTGGGATTCTCCCGGATGAGCTGGCCCAAGTGGCTGGGGAGAGGGACGTCTGGGGCTCCCTACTGAAGTTGCTTCCTCCATGACCTGACCCTGGATAAGCAGAAGATGGATGGATGGATGGATGGATGGATGGATGGATGGGTGCACACCTAATTCCAAAAAAAACCCCACACACCTATGCACATGACACCAACTGAGAGATAAGTGTGAATTGATATTAATATTACAGCAATTCTAAATAACGTGACCTAATCAGAAAAACATATCTATCGTATCAGATTTCCACTAATGACCACCTGTCGCCTTGGACAGACCTGCTTGCTTCTCTCAAAATATCCAAAAAGGACATAAACCAGAGGAATACGTGAGCTTCTCAGGAGTGACAATCACAGAAGTAAAAAAAAAACATCTAAAATCAGGGAAGAGTGCGTAGTGTTTTTGAACAGCAAACATTTCAAGGGACACATTTTTATGATCCTGCCTCCAGAAGCTTTGACAAAGGTCCTAGATGGTAAATTACTTAGATAATTGCCTTAGATCTTTAAGTGTCTCATCTAAATACATTTCTGAAAAAAAAAAAACTTTTATAAGGGACGTTGAATCAGACCCTGTATGGCTCAGTTTGAATCTGGAAGAAAATAGGTAAGGACGCTTCAACCTATTCAAAGGAGCTTCAGTGATCGCCATGAAAAGTGCTGTGTGACTAGTGCTGGCAGTAAGGAAGGAGGTAGAAAGAGATTGCTCATTTTGCATAGGGACCTCTCAACGTTCCTATCCATCAAAGGAGCTATACAGTTACCCACAATCCTTTGCAAGACATCTTAACATATCACACCGCATTGCACTGATTTTTGTACTACACAGATTAAAATGACGGCACAACCTTTCTCAGGCTTGTACTGCAGAGTTTCTTCAACTGGTTCAAACCTATAAAACCCTCAGTGCTCATGAAGGGAAGCTTCACAGTTGCCCACATCAGAATGGGTGCACCCTTAACCACCTGCAAAATAGTTATAAAGAGCTCCCTTAATAATTATCGCCTCATCCAGCACAACATTTGATATAATTCCTATCTCCAACTTAAAATCCTTCCATTTAATACTTGGTATTAATTCATTTTATCTATATTTGTTGCTTTCAGTACCTTTTTGCTCTGCATTAAATTAGTCACAAAATATTGTTCTGTTTCTTTAGCTGAAGATAAAATAAAAGGTTTTTTTTAATATTTTATAGCAGTTTACCTTTTCACACTTTGTCACATCGCACAGCCAGAATTTCAATGTATCTTACGAAGACTTTATGTGATACAACAAACAAAAAAAACAAAAACAAGGGCCTGATTAGGAAAAGGAAGGAAAATGATAATTTTGATGAGCCTTTCGAATTCATAAATTTGGGACAGCGTTAATAAACTTAATTGATCTAGACCAAGAAATAATTTCAAAATTCTTCAAACATGTATAAGTCTTCACATAAAGCCTCTTCAGATTTCGAATCCCTACCACTGTAGAAATATTTCTAATTTTGACATTC